GCCTGCTCACTTTGTTTTACAGCTGCAGAACACAGACTGCCCCAGTTTACAATGGTTTACTGAAGATTTTTTATTTTATGATGGGGCAAAAGTGATGTGTTTTCAATGGGAACTCTAGTTTGAATTTTGAATTTGATCTTTTTCCCATGCCAGTGATTTTGGTGCAGTCCTCTCTCTGGATGCTGGGAGCTGCTGTTTCCAGTCAGCCACACCATTAGGAGGGGAAACAAGTGACACTGCACAGTGTGCCACGTTGTTAAGCTGTGAAGTCCTATAGGTTAGGTGTATTCAATGCATTTTCCACCTATAATATTTTCAACCAATGATAGGATTTTTAGGACGTATCTTCTTCATAAATAGAGAAACACCTGCATTTCATTTTCCAAAGGCTAGTCCATAGTTTATTTATTCATTCCACACACAATCACAGAGAACAACCTTGTACAAGTGTCATTTTGTACTGGTATGGCTGGAGGATAAATTCTCAGAAGTGGGCTCTAAATTTAATGCACTTGAAATTGCTAATGATGATAAAATGCCCTCCAAACAAGTTGTACAGACTGCATGACAGAATGCTTCATCATACCTTTCTTAGTGTGAATTCCTAGAGAGCCCTTCATTGCCAGGCTGGCTAACAGCCCTTATCAACCATCAGATGAGTGATAAGAGTATTCATGACCCTAGTGCTGGCATGATATCGGAATAACAGGGTGTGCAAAGGATCAGGGAAGCACTGGGGGGTGATTTAATGGGTGCTATGATGAAATGTTCTTTTATCCTTGCATTTTACTTTAGGTGTTTGTGTATTTGAATTGCTGCTGTCTCAATTAGTAGCTTAAACCTTCTTCTGCAGCTTGAATTCAAAGTGATTTGATGCTTCATTAAGCTTTGAGTAAAACAAAGAGGGTTTGAGCTACACATCTGGAATGTCTCTGCAAGACCTGACCCCGACTGTGGTTAGCCCTCAGGTGGCCATGCTGGCCAGCTGACCAGCACCAGGGTTCAGGTGTGAAGGAGGGGGGTGTCCTTCCTGTGGATGAAAGCTATGTCTTTGTGCAAACCCTCCAGCTGCAGAAATTCTGACCCTGCTATAAAGATTCATGGCATTTCTTGGCAACAGATGGGAAAGTCAAACTTCTTTGTGACATAAGGATTAAGTCTTAGGCTAGAAGCAAACTGTCCTTGGCCACAGCAAGGAGGTTATCTCTCAAAGAACATTTAGGCTGTTTCCCAAGAGTGCCTGTGCTGGAGGCAGCCGTTTCTAGTTAGTAAGATTACATCTCACCCGGCCAGTGTGCAGAATTGTGCTCAATTTTTTCTTTCTGGCTCTGTCATAATATACATGTTCACATGCACACATGCTTGTGTGAGAAACACACTGATGATGCACAAAGACGATAGGCAGAACAAGGAAGCATGAAACACTGAAGAATGTTCCAGAGAGAGAAGCCAGAGTAAAACCCATAATCACTTGCCCTTTCCTGTCTCTGACTGGAAATGCTGCAACTAGAAGGAAAAATTGAAAAAATTAAAAAGGTAATGAGGATCTTGCCCGACAATTTAATAGCAATGTTAATAATGAAGCAAAATTTTATTGGGTTAATAGAGGTTAAGTGGTAATATTAGTAAAGTGGTCATTACAGATAATCTTTGCAGGCAGTGAAGAGAACCTTCTGAAAGGATGGATTATTACAACTCTCAGAATTCACTGTTTCTTAAAAGAGGCAGTTCTAAAAGTCTTTTAAAAAAAAATTATTACCATTTTTTTCCAGGGACCCTCTTTTGAGGCTCAAGTCCAGACACTGTGTTTTTCAAGAAGCCCTTACAGGGAACTCTGTCAGTTGTTCAAGGCTTGCTGCCAATAAACAATTGAGGTATTTACTAAGAGTTTCCAAGAAATTGCTGCAAATTACACGAAATGTTATACCTGCAACAGGCATTCAATGTATTAGCAGCAGGGGAAAAAAATGTATTTCGTGTGGAAACAAAGTTGCAATTTGTGAGAAAATGTTCAGTCATGTAGGTAGGGGTGAATTTTAATTATGTGTCAGAGAATCACAGACATGCAAACAGAAAGGAAGTAGATGATCCAACATTTTAAAATGAATTTCTCAATATCAGTCTAGACTCACTACCAGGAGACTTTAACTGGATCTGTTGGAAAGATACATTTAAAGAAAAGGAGACTGTCAGACCCTGAAAACTCTTTGAGCTTGGTTAAATGGGACTCTGTTTAGAAGTCAGAGCCCATCCCAGGCTCCTGATCCCCCCATCCAGCACTAGCCGCCTCTCAGGTGCCATTAGGAGTTTTCATGGAATATGCTCACAGTTCAGGTTTCCCTTGTATGTGGGCCTGTATCTGATTATGGTTAACACCACTCCTATTTTGCAGTCAATGACCTCCAAAATATCAAAAAAAGGTTCCCAGTGCTGTTAATCAAGAACCCAACAAACATCATTACACTTTTCTTAATGTACTGTGGTGAAACACCTACAAAATATTAACAACCAGTCTTCTCCCTATCTTTAAAAATAAATTAATGTGAGGAGACTTGTGAGTGAGGAGCTTCCAGGGCCTCCACTATTGAACCTGTAGGTGAGGCCGAATGTGAACCTAGGAATCCAGGGATTTCTAGGAATTGGGAAGTTGTGGAAGACAAAATATTATTCCCTCACATGTTTCTGTACTTTTTATTGGATTTTAGTTTAGGAGAGGAAATAAAGACATGTCCAAAGCAGATTATGAAATCATTGACTATGTCATGAAATTGAATGTCTACAGGCCTGCAACTTGCCATATTGATGTCTTACATAAATCATTTTGAATTTGAATTATGGGGCTGTTGCTGAATTTGGGGGGCTCTGCTGATTCCCCAGCATTTGTGGTTTATGGTCTTACTGGAAACCTCTTTCGATGGTTTTTGAGCCTGTAATTCATGGTTGTATGTTCTGTATTTTTCTCAAGACCATTGCTGGAATCCTGTATTCACTGCATAATTGTATTTTATTTTTGGATGTGGATCACTTCTTAGGAGGGAGTGTGGGGAGGTGAGTAATGAACTATTTTTGACATAAATCACAGAAATCTAAGAAAGTAGTAGTACTCCAAAGAAGAAACAAGAGTGACCACCATTCGGTTAAAAAGAAAGTGACTGCATTTCTCACAGCTTGGTATTTTAAACCATGTTAATATCTCAGTTATTTGGTCTTATTAGTAATGAAGAGAGACTCAATGATTACCCCCAAATATGCTTAGTTTCTGTCTCGAATTGCTGGGTTCACTTAATTAAATGAGAGTCCCTCAGGCCCAAGAAATACTTTGCTCTTGGGGCTGGGGTTGTGGCTTAGAGATAGAATGCTTGCCTAGCATGCATGAGACACTGGGTTTGATCCTCAGCGCCGCATAAAAACAAAATAAAGGTATTAAAAAATACTTTGCTCTTAGAGAATTTCATTATGAAACCCCGATAATATATTGGCGACTAAGTAACAGGACTGATACTTAGAAACATTTGTTGAATTGTCACGTTCTCTGTTTCTGTAGCTTTAACTGAGTTTTCATAAAGGAAATGTATAAAATTTAAAACCTAGCGTAGAGGAGCAGGTACCCAAAACCTGTCTTCAGAAATCCAGGACCCTTTTTGTAAATTAACTATTAAAATATTGACAAAGACTCAGATGAACGATACTAATCAGCTATCTGCCCCCATAGCTATCTGCCCCATGGTAGTGGTTTGTTGCTCAGAGTATTAACATCTTCTGCCTTTTCTTCAACATCTACTAAATGCTAGTACTGTATGAAGAGCTTGTGCACAAAGTGTGGCTCCTTCCTCCCTCCCTCCCTTCTTTCTTTCAAGGTAACTGAATTCATGGTTAACTCTCCAAGCCTGCACGTCCCAAACGGCTCCCCAGCTGTTGATTCTATACGTGCCGGTTCCTGCCCACATGACGGCGGGAACAAAGATACAGTGTGGATGGGGCGACGCAGGCAAAGGAGCAGGGAGGTCAGCCGGGCTGACGGGCACGGCGCGGCAGTGGGGTTTATCCGAGGACAGTGTAGGAGCGAGGAACGTGCGGTTCGTGTAGTTTGCGGCCAAGAAGCCCCTTCTGCAGAACTCGCCCGGGAGATGTCCATTAGCTACGCCCAGGTGCTCAAACGGACTGCCCGCGGTGGCGCCCACGGAGGCGAGTTCTCCCACCCGGCGCAGTCAGCCTGCGGGCCGGCGGGGGCGTGGCCGCCGGCGCGGATAACGGGCTGCTGGAGCTGGCGTTTGAATAGGCCTGCAGCTCTAGGGCAGACGCGGCCCCACGCCCCCTCCGCCCGGCCGCAAACCGCACCGGCGGGCGGGGCGCGTAGGCTTTTTTAATTTTATTTTTTTTGATCAAACTTTGGCCACGTGAACCGCCCTCCATTCACTTTTGCGCCAATCGCTCGGCGCGGACGGATCCCGAGAGGGGCCACGGTTCGCAGCCGCCGGAGCCGCTTCATAACGCGCTGTGCGTGACGTGAGGGGCTTCTGTTGCAATGGCGAGCTAAGCCGGAGGATGTGCAGCTGCGACGGCGGCGTCGGCCACGAAGAGGACGGGGGCGGGCGCAGCACAACTCGAGCAGAGCCAGCCGGGGGACGCGAGCTGGGCGGGACAGGGGCTCTGGCCCGGCTGCCACTGCTATCGCCGTCGCGCTGGCCCCGCGCCTCCGCGCGCGAGCGGGAGGAGCCGCCGCCGCCTAGCTCCCGAGCCGCCGCCGGCGCGCTCCGGGCATGGTCCCCTCTTAAAGGCGCAGGCCGCGGCGGTGGGGGCGGGCGTGCGGAACAAAGCGCCGGCGCGGGGCCTGCGGGCGGCTCGGGGGCCGCAATGGGCGCGGCGGGCCCGCGGCGGCCGCGGCGCTGCCCGGGCCGGGCCTCGCGGCGCTAGGACGGGCTGGCCTCCGCAGGCGGGGGCGGCGGGCTGAGGGCGCGGGGAGCCTCGGCGGCGGCGGCAGCGGCCCTGCGGGCGGAGTGGCGCGGGAATGGCCACGCGCGGCCGGCGCGCCTGGCTCAGCGTGCTGCTCGGGCTCGTGCTGGGTTTCGTGCTGGCCTCGCGGCTTGTCCTGCCCCGTGCTTCGGAGCTGAAGCGAGCGGGTCCGCGGCGCCGCACCAGCCTCGAGGGCTGCCGGCCCGGGCAGGCGGCGGCGGCGGCGGCAGCAGCAGCAGCAGCGTCCCAGGCCGGCGGAGTGCGCGGCAATGTGCGGGGGGCGCAGCTGTGGCTGCACGGCTCGGCCCCGGATGGTGGCCCGCGCGACAGGAACTTTCTCTTCGTGGGAGTTATGACTGCCCAGAAATACCTGCAGACCCGCGCTGTGGCTGCCTACAGGTGAGCCCTTTCTTTCTGGGTACAGCCTCCCGCATTCTGCATCCGGGTGCGCCACATTACCTGTTCAGTGGCTCCTGCCCTTGTCTAGTTATCAGACTCGAGGCTCCCAGACTTCTTGGGGGATCCAGGTGTTCTTCTCAGGAGATGACCGACATTGGCAGCTGATGTCATGGGTGGCAGCATAGCGAGCACAAGGCTCAGGAGCCCTGCTCTGGGGTCGGATGGACTAGAGTGACTCTGTGGGTGTGCCTCGTCCTAACCTTTTGCAAGGCACTTCAGCTTTCCGTGTCCAAGTCTCCTCCTTTGTTAAATGGGCCTGACTAAATGCGTCTGTCTCTTGAGGTTGTAGGAAAATTCATAGCCCAGTACCTGTGGTAGTGGTGGCAAGTGAGGTTATAATTTGATTCTCTAAAATGAGCACATTTGCTCTTGCACAGCTAGAGCTCATATAAATTAATCTGGCTAGAGATTTTCCATAGCATACTTCTAGATTTTACAGTTGAAGGCACTCCGGTGAACGAAAGGGGGTGCCCACTGTGCACTTGACCACACCGGTCTGAAAAGCAGAGAGAAAAAGAGCCTTGGAGAAAAAAAAAAACATTTCCCGTGGTAGATTCCGTGGAAGGCAGCATTCCCGCGTTCTTTAGCTCATCAATTATGGTACATGCATGTTATCCAGTAACTGAAGCCTAGTTGGCTAAATGAGTCATAAAAGTGGCTGTAGTCATGTTAAGGATTAACAAAGGGATTAGCCAAAGCAGTCTTTAGAAAGGAGATGATTTTGGAATGGCCGGCATGGTTAGAATCAGATTTGTAGTGGAGTGAATTTAAAGTAGGAGAGGGATGTACACTCAGTAAAGGGATTTGGTGGAAACTTTATGTGTGAAATATAGAAAACACTGGAGTTCATCAGGCCACAAAAACAAGCCAGTGTCAGGAACGATTTTAGAGCTCGAATGTTTTGGGAATGAACTTTTAGATCAGTCAGTACTGAGCAAGGCTATAATAGTTGCTGGGGGTTTTGTTATGTTGTTTTTTCTTTTTCTTTCTTTTTTTTTTTTTTTTCTGTTTTAAATGCCTTTGTAACTTCAGCTTTTAAATTCAATACTGCTCTTTTATGTTTTCAAGCATTAGATATTGTAATGGGACTAGCATATACAGATCTTTCCTTCCTTTTAAAGGAGGAAGTATTGAGAAACAAGGTCAAAAAGCTTGACTGCCCTTTGAATGACTTAATCCCCATTCCTACATGTTTCCATTATCTTGTTGAAGTCCAGACTCCACATTCTGCCAAGAATAGTTCTGAGCAGTTGAAAAGCTTCAAATTTAGGTATTGTACCACAAAAATGGAATCCCAATTAGAATGTTATACTCCATATATGTGTAATACATCAAAATATAGTCTATTGTCATGTATATCTAAATAGAACAAGTAAAAAGAATTTAGGTGTTATAACTATAGACTAATACATCAGTTTGGGAGCTATCAGATCAGGTTCTCTCCTAGGTGTACCATGATTTACTTGGGGTTTTATACTCTTTGTCCAGAGAAACATCCACATCAGAAATTGGTGAGTCCACATGACTACAGTTTGATGGCTGGCCATGTGAAATCACAATTCTAGGGACAATTACCATAGTAGTTTGTCCGATGCCCCCCAACAAATACCAGCATACTCAAAATGTAATGCAATCCAGAATTACTAGTTTACCCTCCATGATAGTTTCCCAAAGTCCATGCGTGACATTCTGACTTTTGGTTTCTTTTCCACATCTCCTACCTCCTTTTTAATTAAAAACACACACACACACACATACACACACTAAGATTTTGTTTATTTTCTTATAGGCAGTTGGGGAAAGTAAAAACACAGTTTGCCCTCTGGCCTGGGTTCTTCCTTCTTTGAGACACCTCTGCTTTTCTGAGAAATGAAGACCCCTACCAGAGGTTTGCAGTCATTCCTTCAACTTTCTTGCATAGCTTTTATTTCTCTAATTTGAAAAACTCAGCATACTTGGAGTCTAAGGGTGGGCCTACCTTACCAGTTAGAGTGTCTGCCCCTCCTGTCTACCCTGTGTTTAGATTGGCTTCAGGAGATGGCACAAGACAATTTTAGCCTTAAGGAACTTTTAGGGAAGGCCTGAATTGGGATGGAGTTTATAGGGTGTAACTTATGATTACAGTTTTGTTGTGCTTTGTAGGCCAAAAGTCCACACTGAACTCTCAAATTGGAAATTCCATGTACAGATTTGTATGTTAAGTAGACTTGAATCTCGAGTCTTCTAATGCAAGGTGAAATCATAGTTGCAGCTGGGTGTGCTCAGTTTTATATTTCTTCTGGAAAGCAAATTTATTCTTAATCTCAGGAAAAAAATTTCACTTTTCTTTTTAAACCTGTTGTTTAACTTATGGATGAAGGAGATGCTAACACTTTTAGTAAGAGGGTAGTGTGTTGTAAGATACTGAAAGTGTCAAAATTTAGGTTTAGAAACTAGTAACTATCAACCTCTTCTTTCCAAGAACTGTTTGAAATCTATAGAAGATCTAAAAATCTCTTGAGATATTCAAGAAGATATGCCTGTCTGCACTAAAGTTACTGCATCTTAATGATAAAACAACCTCGTCCTTACATACTTTACTTTCTAGACCTGCCAAATGCTTGTAATAAGGGTAGGTACCACCAAGAGATGGCAGGGCAGTGATAGCTAGCAGCAGACAAAATATAGAATTTAAACAGGAGGCAAAATAAAACTCGAAGTGCAGTAGATCAGAGACCAGCCAGATCTGACTTCTATAGACTATGACTAGAGACATAGCGTTTGGGTTCATAGGAGTATTCTTGGTTCATCAAAATGTTCAGTTGCACTTTGGATTCATCCCTTTGTAAAGCAAATACATGCATGGCCCCTGTGGATCTAGACTCGCTGAGGTTGAGGACATAGCAGTACAGATGCTTGTTCCAGGGGGAAGGACAGACACTAAAAAGAGGGTTTCAGCAAGTGGTGGGCACTGTGGAGAAAATAGAACAGGGTAAGGGCAGGGCTGGGAGGTGCCCTGTCTATATTAGGTAGTTGGGGAAGGCTTTAGAAAAAGTGGCATTTAGGCCATTTGATCTGATAATGAGGAACAGGTTGTCTGAATATCATTGATGAGCATGTGAAGCAAAGGGAAGAACTGTTAATATCCAAGGCAGGAAATAGTTTGGAAAGGAACCCAAACATGGCCAGTAAAAGAAAGGGAAATGGGCTTACAGTGTCCAGTCTTTCAGAATTTTATTCTAAGTGAATGAAAAAGCCACTCAAGCATTTAAGCAGGGAAAAGGGTGAGTAGTTGGGATTCTGCAAATAAACAGAAAATAATTTATTTTGACTCATCTACAAAGTTATTTGTATTCTAGGTAATTTCACTTTAAAATACTATGATTCCCCTAAAATAATTTATTGTGTTGATTATCAGCATGTTGTGGGAATGCCTTGTTCCGAATGTCTTGAGTTACTAACTGCAATCCAAATTTTCTCCATTTTTAAAAATTTCTTAATATGTTCTTTGTTAAACAGAGGTTAACTGTTTATGCAATTCAGTCTGTCTTTCCCTGATTTTATAACTCCTTCCTTAAGTTCTGAAAACTATTACCCTAGGGAGATTTGAAAAGGTAACGTTTTTTTTTTCTAATGCTAGAAAGGATAGAAGTCATCTCCGCTTCATTTTTTTCCTTCCACATAGTATATTGTCTGAGCACCATGTGTTGAGTAAGCTCTCATTTCCCAACCAATTTGAAATACCATCTTCATCATATTCAAAATTCTTGGGTATGTTTTTGGACTTCCTCTTTTGTTTTATTGATATTTTTTTGTCTATTCTTATGCCAGTACCACCCATTAAAATTATTTGAGGTTGAATAATATTTTAATATCCGGTAGACAAAGTCCCCTTTGTTTGTCATCTGTTTCAGACATTTCTTGGCTACACTTACATGTTCTTGCGGGGGGAGTTGTGTACATATTTTTATTTTATTTTTTGTCAAAGTTTTGATTAAAAAAATAGCATACATATTTAGTTGTTTAGTTCATTTAAATCTCAGAACACTGATCTAATCCAACACTTCTTATTTGTCTTGGTTCTTACTTCTCCTGGGACTGATGGGCAACAGTTTGCTTATTTCTTTCTCAGAAGAAAGACTTGGTTGGTTCCCTTCTTTGCCCAAGAGTGATAAAGGGTACCTATAAAGATTAGTATCTGTCTGTAGGGGACTGTGGGGAAGAAAAGGTGAGAAATACCAGCTGTGGATGCAGGACTCTTATTTCAAGGTACTATTGTATCAGTTAATGACCTCTTCCCAATACTTTGAAAGAAGGCAGACTGTTCCTTTTACCAACCCTAATGAACTGCTCCTCTTTTATATATCTCAGAGTTCATTTCCTTATTTTTTTAGCTAAGTTCACCATGTTTATCTTGAACCAGTTTAGAGCAGTACTCACTTTCTTAGATGCAGTTCTGTTTGGCAGACATTTATATGGAAGGTTTTTACATATAAAATCAAATAACTTCTAAGTGAACTTTTGCAGCACAATCCATTTCAAGTGTGTATTACCTGTAGAAAAAGACTAGTGAAAAATGTGGTCCTGAAAATGAGGGTAGTTTTAAATATCGTGATTTGAGATCTTGTTGTCTCCGATTGGAATATTCCAAGCATAGCCATGGTTGTGTTCTCATCATATGGCAGTTTGACTTTTCCCTGTCCATGAGTTAAGGTGCTAGTTATTAAAAGTAGATTACCAGTGCTGGGCCTCAATCCGTACAGAATTTAGTTCAGGGAAGGAAATGGATGATGATTGATGATGAGGGAGGTGCCTGAACGAATTACTGGGGGGTACAGAAGAAAGAGGCTTACACTGCGTGAAGAGGATCAGGGCAGTCTCACCCACACTCCCACCCTTTCTTTCCTGCTGAATCTTGAAGGATGAATAGGAGTTTTTGAGACAGAATAGTATGTTTCCTA